AAATCAGCAGTAGCTAGATTTTCTAGGAAAATTTGTAGTCCATTGTATTGGCTAATGAGTAGTCTTGCTCTCTGCCACTGTGGCCACTCTATTCATGTGCCCATTATGCCAGTACTTAATCCAATGACAAAGACTGGATAATGTCAACTGGACAAGTTATCTTGTCCATTTGTTTTTTCAGTGCTTCTTGTGTACTTGATGCTTTCCAATTAGTGTTAAATGCACAACACAAAAATCTTCACACATTGTGTCCACTCCCATAGTCCCAACTATATGCCTCTGTCTCAGACTCTTATTTCCAATCTCCAAGTCCCTTTCATTCAGGTCCCTGTCCACACAGCTAGACTATTGGCTACTGTGCAGAAACCTATACATATATTCACACCTTAGGCCAATTTTTCTTCCACTCAAAATAGATAACCATAGTCATTGCTTGAAGCTTCGTTCATTGGGAAGACCTTCCTTCTCCACTGTCTTCCAAGGCTACCTCATAATGCATCTCTACTTCAGTGACCATCTATTTTTGCTTTACAGCTACATAGTGAACCAGAATTGTCAACCAGAATTGTCAACCAGAATTGGCCTTTTACCTCCCTTTCAGCTAGTCATGGAGAACACCCATATAACCATAAGTGTGAGCTGTACAAGGGCACTGGTACAACCCTGGTGGGTGACATGGAGGCATCTGTGCTACTTGCTCATGCAGCCTCCTCATGCCAATCTAGTCTCATATGGGTTTGATCCCAGATGTGCCATTTCCATTTTCCAGTGGAAGGCTGTGGAACACATCTGAGTGTATGACTTAGTGCATTGGCAATAATCTAGCTCATAATGGTCTGTTCCAAATACATTTGGTGCCCCATTATCAACCACTCCATCTTGACCAAGTCTCAGCAACATTCTAGGAACAGTTTCTCAAAAGGTGTACAACTTTATACCGAAAATGGATGGCATTGCTTCAGAGCTCTAGGGGCCTGCATTCTAATTCTTTCACTTGGGCATACATCAACTCCAAATTGTATCTTTCCCCACTAACATATTCAGCACCATAGGGTCTGCCAGATCATATGCCCCAAGTAGTAGGGTTGCTTATACTGCAGTCCTACATGCTGCAGAGTCCTTTCTTGCTCCAGGCCCACTCAAAGCTGTGAGACTTCTATGTAGTTCAGTATATGAGATGGAAAAATATTTCTACATGTGAAATGTGTTGCCTCCAAAACACAGGCCTACCAGGTATCTTGCTCTGTTTATTGAGATTGAGAATGTAAGATACAGCAATTTAACTTTTACTTGAAAATCCAGTGGTCACAGTGGTGTTCTAGCAGCCTTTCACTACTGAACCACTAAAAACTTTACCAATGTGGTATGTTCCTGAACTTTCACAGGGTTTATCTCCCACCCTCCAGAGTGTGTGTGTCCTACCAAGGCCTCTAATGTATTAGACACCTCTTGTTGACTCTTAATGACGTCTTTGATGCAAATGGATCAATGTGATATTCTACAGAATGTTCAGATGGTCCATGTCTCTTCAGACCTTATTATGACAAATATTTGAAGAGGTAACATAGCCCTGGGCAAAGCAGAAAATGAACATTATTGTCTGTTACATGTGAATACAAACTCTGATTTTTTTGAATGTGTCTCTGTCTGGTTTTGGTATCAGGATAATATTGGCCTTGTAGAATGAATTTGAAAGTATTCCCTCCTCCTCTATTTTTCAGAATAGTTTGAGTAAGATTGGTATTAGTTCTTCATTAAATGTTTGGTATAATTCAGCAGAGTCACCATCCGTTCCTGAACTTTTCTTTATTGGAAGATATTTTATTATAAGATATTGTTATTTGTGGCCAGGCATGGTTGCTCACACCTGTAATCCCAGCACTTTGGGAGGCTGAGGCAGGCGGATCACAAGGTCAGGAGATCGAGACCATCCTGGCTAACATGGTGAAACCCCATCTCTACTAAAAATACAAAAAAAAAAGCCAGGCATGGTGGTGGGTGCCTGTAGTCCCAGCTACTCAGGAGGCTGAGGCAGGAGAATGGCGTGAACCCGGGAGGCGGAGCTTGCAGTGAGCCAAGATCATGCCACTGAACTCCAGCTTGGGCAACAGAACAAGACTCTGTCCCCAAAAGAAAAAAAAAAAAAGATCTTGTTATTTGTTATTGGTTATAGTTTTATCTTGGTACATTGTATGTATCCAGGAATTTGTTCCTTTCTTCTATATTTTCCAATTTATTGGCATATAGTTGCTCAAAGAGGCTACTAATGAGCCTTTGAATTTCTGCTATCAGTTGCAATGTCTCCTTTATTATCTCTAATTTTATTTGTTTGAGTCTTCTTTCTTTTTAATTAGTCTGGCTAAAGGTTTGTTGATTTTGCATGACATTTCAAAAATCCAACTTTTGGTTTCGTTGATATTTTGTATTGTTTTCTTCATTTCAATTTCATTTATTTCTGCTCTGATATTTATTTATTTTCTTCTACTAATTTTGAGTTTGTTTTGCTCTTCCTTTTCTAGTTCTTTAAGATGCATCATTAGGTTTTTTATTTAAAGTTTATCTTCTTTTTCAATGTAGGCACTGATAGCTATAAAATTCCCTCTTTGTGCTCCTGCTGTATCCCATAGATTTTGGTATGTTGTGTTTCTATTATCGTTTGTTTCAAGAAATTTTAAATTTTTCTTCTTAATGTCTTCATTGATCCACTAGTCATCCAGGAGCATATGGTTTGATTTCCATGTATTTGTATAGTTTCCAAAATTCCTCTTGTTATTGATTTCTAGTTTTATTCCATTATGGTCAGAGATGATGTTTCATATTATTTTTATTTTGTTTTAATGTTTTCAGGCTTTTTAGTGATTTAACATATAGTCTGCTCTCGAGAATGAACCATGTGCTGAAGAAAAGAATGTGTATTCTGCAGCTGTTGGATGAAATGTTCTGTACATAACTACATAGTGCAGATTAACTCTCATATTTCTTTACCAATTTTCTGTCCAGTAGATCTGTCCAATGGTGAAATTGTGATGTTGAAGTCTCCAGCTATTATTGTATTGGGGTCTCTCTCTCTCTTTAGGTCTAACAATATTTAATTTATATGTCTGGGTACTCCAGTGTTGGGTGCATATATATTTACAATTGTTAAATCCTCTTGCTGAATTGACCCCTTTTATCACTATATAGTAACCTTCTTTATCTCTTCCTATAGTTTTTGTCTTGAAATCTAATTTGCCTGATATAGGTATAGCTAGCCATGCTCTTTTGTGGTTTCCATTGACATGGAATATCTTTTCCCATCCCTTTATTTTCCACCTATGCGTGTCTCGTCTTTACTGGTGAAGTGTGTTTCTCATAAGCAACAGATCACTGGATCCTTTTTTTTTTTTAATCCATTGAGCTACTTGATGACTTTTGACTGGCAAGTCTCAGAGTCTCACTCAAAGTCTTCAATGCACCTGGGTATTCCTGATGGTTATTCTGAGCCCAAGGACTCTTTAGCTGGCACGTGATGAATGCTGCCAGGACTATGTCCTTCCCTTCAGGGCAGTAGTTTCCCTTCTGGCTTAGGGCATGTCTAGAAATGCCATCCAGGAGCTAGGGCCTGGAAAGGGGGCCTCTCAGAGCTGACCAGTGCCCTCTCCTGTTGTGACTGTGCTCTGGGCTCAGTTCAGCACTAGAACTTGCTTGAAAGTTATACTCCTTGTGGTCTAGACTGACTTTCCAGTGTATTTAGAGCCCCAGAGCACTTGAGCTTGCAGTGGTAAGGCTTGTAGGAACTCAAGTTCTGACCACCAGGATTGGTGATTTCCTTTTGGCTAGAGCTGATATAAATGCTCCCTCCATGCGGGGACATCAGCTGAGTTTGGTCCTGTTTTCTTTTATGCTGTAATAGGACAGCACTAAGTTCAGTGCCTCACAATTGCTGTGCTTTCCTCCTCTAGCACCTAGGAAAGCTCTCCATACCCTGCTGCCATTGCTGGGGATTGGGAGAGGGGTGGCGTCAGAGATTTAAAATTGTTTATCTTCTACTTCTTCGGTGCCTCTTTCAGCAATATGAAGTTAAAACCAAGCACTATGAATGCTCACCTGATTTTTGGTTCTTACAAAGCTACTTTTTTGTGTGTGTAGATGGTTGCTAAATTGGTATCCTTGCTGAAGGTGGAAGAGGGAATGATCAGTGGAGTCTTCTATTCTGCAATCTTGCCTACAGCACTCTTTTGAGAAAGATTCTGGATTATATGATAAATTAGTGATGTCTGTCATGGAGGGGTGAGGGGCAGTTTTTAGACATATAGCCTATTTTGCCATTTCTGCTATAAACATCTACACAGCTTGTACAATCTGTAACTATAGAATTGAGTACAGATGACCTGCCCACAAGAGGACAAATGTCCTGACCTTGGCCTTAGTTCCTCTGTAATTCAACCAAGTACATTAATTAAGTTGACAGATGATACACTTGCTGTTTTCCGAGGGCAGATATTGAAAGTGGAAAGGAGAAGAAAGCAAAGAAACCTGGGAGCAGGGGGACTGAGACTGGGTGTAAGGAGAAACAAGAGGTCCAATTTGCAAAATAATGGGTGTAGTAAGAGGAATCTTGAAGTATTCTCCAAAGATAACAATTTTGCTTTTCTCAATTTTGTCCTCTTGATTCTCACACAGTGCTGTCTTTAGTACAAACCTACTACCCTGAAAACTTCTGCTCTGTGACTTAAAAGGTCAGTTATGATTACTGTGATTCCTCTTCAGTCATTATTGAAATTCTTCCTAGGTGGTTAGTTACATTTAAGTGGTAAGAAGCTGCAATAATATAAGTCAAAGAACTCCTGCTTTGCTTTACTTTTCCTCAGTGGCCATCTGATAAATCAGGAAGGAGAAAAAAAAGTGAACCTCTCCAGGATTTCATTTTTATTGTGGCTTAGCTGAAAATTTGAAAAACAAACAAACAAAACAACAACAAAAAAAAACCCTGCATGTAAGCACTTGTATGTTTTTGTTAGATTCTTTCACAGGACTAGTCAACATCTTGACAGATATTATCTGGCGATTCACTGGAGACTTCATGGCACCTGACCTGGTTTGCCGAGTGGTCCGCTATTTGCAGGTATGTAACACCTTCCAAATGTGATGAGACAAACTGATACCAGAGTTAGCTCTTAGATTTATTATAAGGAAAATAATATAAAACCCTGCATTCCTATGCATCAAACTGCCTGCTTTATCCTAGGTGGAAGGGCAATGAAAATTTGAAAGATTTTCAATGTATTTCCTTTGCTAAAAATAGTATCTACATAAAGAAAACACAAACGAGCAATGATAAGGATGTAAAGCATTCATATTTCAAATGTTAACTAAAAATGTCTGGGTCAATATTAAGGATTTTGGCATATTGTGGATAACTTCCAAAAAAGTTTGTTAACTATATTTACCTTTTACTTCTCAAATGAACTCAACACTGGCTACTGTTCTTTTTTGTAAAACAAAGGGAATTTGTTAGAAAATAACTATTACTTATTGAATTACTGCCTAAATTACACTTTTTAAAGTATCTATTGGCATTTGAATTTCTTCCTCTCAAATTTCCTGTTTTCCTTTTGGATTGATTTTATAACTGAAAGACTTTTTTAAAATTTTTCCTAAGATCTATTTTTAGATTAAAGATATCCATGCTTGGAATGTCAATCTGCTTCATTGTGAGCCACATTTATGTATCATATGTATATTTGATTAAAAATATTACATATATCCATATTTACATACATCCATACTGATATTGTTAACATGTGTTAGATGTTTATAATATAGATTTAGACACTTCAACTAAGTATGGAAAGAATGGATTATTTCATAACTGGTATTAGGTTTGATGTGTTGTTTCTGAGTTCTGAAAATTATTTTTTATTAATATATTTTTATTCTGATGCTAGTACTTCAGGTCTAAATTATCATAGCTTTATGTATATATAATGCATTTCTAGAAAGCTTTATCCTGCTAGATTCCATTTGTTAGTAGAGTCTTTTAGGATCCTTGTATCTGTATTCATAAGTAAAATTATAATTCTTTTCATTGGTTTTATTATTTTCAGGTCTTGGTAATGAAGTTACTCCATATTCAGAAAATGAATATGGAATAGTTAAGAGTTACACTCTTCTTTTGTGCTCTGAATATAACCTTGAAAATTTGGTATGTCTGAAAGAGCCTTTACCATTATGTACGGCTAGTACTTTCTCAGGGGAAATTTTTAAAAACATATTTCAATTTCTTTCTGAGGATATTTGCTTCCTTGTAAATAAATGCTTTCAATTACTTATATTAGTAATCAATTGCTGAGACACAAATTATGACAAAACTTAGTGGCTTAAAACAATAAATGTTTATTATCTCACAGTTTCTATTAGTCAAGAATTCAGGAACAGTTTGGCTAGGCAGATCTGGATAAAGGCTTATCAAAAGGTTCAGTCAGATGCTTTGTGGTACTGTAGTCATCAGAACGCTTGGCTGGGACTGGACAAGATGGATCTCTCACATAGGTGGTAAATTAGTGCTGGTTTCAGTGGAATATTCAGTTCTCCACACGAGCCTCTCTATAGGTATGTTTTAGTGTCCTCACAACATAGTAGCTGGTTTTTCCAAGAATTACCTATTCAAGTGACCAAAGTGGAAGTGGCAATGTATTTTATGAACTAGTCTCAAAGGTCATACACCATCACTTTCATATGATTATTTTGGTTGTACAAATCAACTCAGATTCAGTATGCGGAAAGAAGAACCACAAAACTAGGAAGCAAGGATTATTTTCGACATGTTGGAGGTTGGCAACCACACTATCTTCATATTTTTCCAAAGCATTTGATAGCCTATGGTTCCTCCTAATTGTTAACTTTAAAATGTCTTCTTGATTTAGAAATATTCATGTCAGTAACATTTTTTCTAACTGTATCTACAATATAAGTGTTAAGATAATACTATATATAAAATGTATCTTTTGACATAGGGAAAATGATAGAGAAAGAAATTCTGATAATTCTCTCTTCTATAAAGAAAGCAAGAAAATTGGCAAAAATTATCAGAATCAAATTTGTAGGACTCTGGAAATTAACCAAAGACTCGCAATTACCCAGGGAGCATTTATTCAGGAAAATGGCTGAATCTCAGTGAGAAAAAAATGAGCTCTGTGGTGCTTTGGCTTGCATTATTCTCATCCCCCAGTATCCAACTCTGTAATAGCCTGAAAAAGTAATAGCACCCATTCATAGTGAAAACAAATTGTCTGGCAGCCACTGTAGAAAGCAAAACTGGGATAGAGTCCTTTCAAATTCCCAAGAAACTGCCATTATTTGACACGTCTGGCAGTTCTCTAGAAGACTCCACTTGCAAGGCTGTCTTTATTTTACTTAAATCAGAACTCACCCACTGTGAAAAACCTTTTTCCTCTGGGCATTTGTCAAAACAGTTACAGGCAATTGATTAACTTTGCTTATGACTAAGGTATTGGATAATGGTCAAGGAAAACACTAGACTAACCAAAGCTTTAAAACATAAGCTGAGTAATGAGCTATCCATAGGGGATTTGAAAATCTCTGACATATTCCCAAAAATCTAGAAGACCAGGTATATGCCCAGGACTGTGCTCATCCTAAGGAAGAAATAGAGAAGGCACTGAGCTGTCACCTGTGAATGACCTTGAGGCTTTGTGCAAGCAGGAAGTGAGGGCAAAGACAGAATTGTCAGTTGCCTGGCTAAGTGTCAAAATCATGCTCCAACATTCACCCAGACCTCCTCTGCAACGAATGGGGGAATTAATAGTTTCTGAAAATCTATTTTTAGGTTAAGAAAATTTTTAGTTAAGAAAATCTCTTTTTAGGAGCTATCACCAAGATCATGGAGTAGGGGATACTCACCTTTAACCCTCCAAAGCATTCAAGTATAAACACCTATTCACAAACTAAAATATCCCAGAGACGACTCAAGGGCCCATTAAAGAATTTGCAACAACATCGTGAAGCAAAAAATGGAGAATAACCACATAGAAAGAATTGCTGCTGTGATTGGCATACCTAAGAGGCCATGATTTGGCTAGGAACAAAGAATAAAGATGGAAGCTATCAGTATTAGACACAGAAAGGACCAACATTGTCTCTAGTGGCCTGCTCCACAGGAGACACTAGGATCTTTTTCCACTGAGTAACCAACAGTCATTCCTGCAAGAGAACCCCAGAAGGGGAGATGTGGCTATACCTCCCTTCTATACCCCAAGAAGGAGTTGCTGTTGAGCTACTTTGGGAATGGGGTCACCATCTCTCCCAACCATGTATAAGCTTCAGCCCTGGAGCCATGGCCACCCTGGGAATGCCCACACTCCAGACTGACAGTCTGACTACACTGGGCCCACCCATGTGTTTAACACCACAGCCAGCACCATAGTAAGCTAGTTAACACTCCAAGCCCCAATGTTAAACTCTGCCTGCATGTGTCCACACTTCAGACACTGACTTAACCACCATAGAGAGCTATCCCCACCCAGGCCTCAGAGCCATTATAATTCTGTGCATACCTGTGCTCTCATTCTTGTCTCCTTGACTAATGCATATGTATACTATTACCAACACTACAGCAGGGGCACCTGTGCCCTGGGCAACAGCTCAGCCATAGAGAGCTATGCCTTGCCCCAACTCTGAAGCCACTGAAAGACTGTGTTCTAGCTCCCACACTACTTTGCAGGTGCACCCATGCCTCACATACTATACCATGCAGCAGAAGGGGAATCTGCCCCTTGAGCACCAGTGTCATTACCACTGTAATCCCAGAGCCATAGTCTCTCCATGTGAGTCCATGCATCAGACCTCAGTTCCATGGCTACTCCATCAACGTCACCCATCAGACACTGGTGGTACTGCCACTATGACAGGCCCTACAAGCCAGACCTAGTACCAAGAGAAATCTTCTCAGTGCCAGCTTCCCCAGTGGGAGGAAAGATCAGAAGAACCTTAGCAGCCATCGCCACTGAAGACCCAATCAATTCTTGCTGCTACTGCCAATATTCACTGCTTTGGCCACTGAGGATCACTGCCAATAGCCACTGCTTTGGCCACTGAGGATCCTTATGATCTTTATCAACTCTGACCTGAGCTGAAAAAGCTACACAGAGACTACAAACCTGCACCATCACTGATGCTACACCACCCAACAAACCCTCCCCCATAGTGTATGGTCTTTCCATAGTGAACTAGCTCACAAAATCTGGAAGGTGATTCTTTTTGGTTTTGTTAATGTTTATTTTTCCCTTATGTTGATATGTGTGCATTTGACTGCTTTACTAAACACACACACACATCAACATAAGGCAAAAATAAACATAAAAAAAGACACAACAACAAAAGAATACAGTAATTTTACAGTAACTGGCCCCAATGAAATAGAGATATATGCAATGCCTGACCAAAAAAATCAAAATAATTGTTTTAGCAAAGCTTAGGGAACTTAAAGTACAGAGAAGCAATTCAATGAAATCAGTAAAACAGTACAACCAAAACAAAGAATTAAAGAGTGAGATTGAAATTATTTTTTTAATCAAATAGAAATTCTGGAGCTAAAAAACATAATAAATGAAATAATAAATGTACTAGACAGCACCAACAGCAGAAATTATCAAGTAGACAAACTGTGAACTGAAAAACAAGTTATTTGAAAATATACAACTAAAGAAGAAGAAAGAAAAAAGAATGAGAAAAGATGAAGAAAGCATAAGAGATTTATGAGGCAGCATCAAAAGAGAAAATGTGCAATGCATTAGTCCATTCTCATGCTGCTATAAGAACGTATCCAAGACTCGGTAATTTATAAAGGAAAGAGCTTTAGTTGACTCACAGTTCTACAGGGTTGGGGAGGCCTCAGGAAACTTACAATCATGGTGGAAGGGAAAGCGAACATGTCCTTCTTCACAAGGCGGCAGGAGAGAGAAAATGAGAACTGAGCAAATGGAGAAGCCCCTTATAAAACCATCAGATATCATGAGAACTTACTATCATGAGAATACCATGGAGGAAACCACCTCCATGATTTAATTATCTCCCACTGAATCCCTCCCATGACATGTAGGGATT